AAAAACGATTGATATGTATATATATACATATATATACACGTATGTATTAGGTTTGGGAAAATAACAAAATTCCTTGTTGTCCAAGACAAGGACTACACGTGAAAAACAAAGAGGGGAAGAAAATCTGTCGGGCCGGGCCCGAGAAATTTGGGCCAATAAGATTTGGGCCGGTTGGGACAACAAAAATTAGCTCACGGGCTCAAATAAAAATTTAACAGATATATTCAGGCCCGATTCGATTACAACAAAATTATCGGGCTCGATTCCGAAGGCAAACGCGCGATAAAAATAAATCGAAAAATATTAAATATATATATTTTACACATTATCACCTACACATTTATTCACATTAATAATTTAATAAATCACAAAAATCAATCTAAACAATTAGACAATCACAATTAGCACTTAATCACATTTGACAAATAAATAATTATATTGGCATTCAATAAAGTAAAATATAAATATAATTACCAATTAATAATAACAATAATAATAGCAAATAAAAATAATAAAAATAATAAAAATAAATCCCAAATAATCCACAAATAAACGGGGCATTACAAGTCCCCATTGACTCGTCACTCACATATCCTTCCCAAAACACCATTCTTGTGATATTATTATCTTTCTACGATTCTGCTCTCCAAGTCAAAGCTAGTTTTATCAGGTTACCACATCATACCTTTGTCTGAAACAGGAAAAACAAAACATCAACTAAGAAAAACCCAATTGACTTATCAGCAACATAACGAATCTAGACTGAGGTCTAATGCAGTTCGACTGCGAAAATTTCAATGGGGATGAAAATTTTGAAATCTGAGCTAATTCATACAATACTTTACGCCAAATCACACACATTGTTCAAAAAAGTGGAATCAATTAAAACCTAGATATAATATTACGAACCCATGATTCGAACATAAACTGTGATAAAATAAACCTCCTCCTAACACGCGAACATAGGACACAAAATGGAAACTAAAAAGAACCCAGAAAATATACAAACTTCGTCGAATTTGAAGATGCTACATTTGTGCTAAAGCGACGCTCTTTTGGTCTTTCCCATATTTTTATTTTTTTAGAAAAATGGAACCGTAAAANCCAGATGCGTATTCCCCATAAAAATGCAATTAGAGCTTGGTACGGACTTACAGAGATATGATTGAGTGGCAAATCGAGGAGCGGATCAAAGGGCTGCAGGGGAAGAAAATGCAAATCCTTTGAAGGGAATGTGTAGAAAGCGATAAATTTAGGTGTGGTGTAAGCGGATTCGTTGAGGGCGATACAGTTGTGAGATTCTTGGGAAGAAATTTTCTGTAATGGGAATGGCAGAAGATTCGTTGAGAAGAAAATAGGAAAAGGAAAAGAAAAAAAAAAAAAGAAAAAGGAAAAGTAATAATGTGGGCTGCCATTCCAAGTGCCAACCGAGCTACGTGTGCGATGTTAAGGTATCTCCGGCCCTTATCTCTACTCAAGCGCGAACTATACTCTAATCTAGAGTAAACTGAAATATTGGTCTTCAATTCTTATCTCTACATTTTACTCTACATCAAATATATTATTTTTTATTTATTTTAATTTCAAATAAATTGATAAATATATGTATATTTAATCTTATATAAACATATTATTCGTGTATTTTGTGATTTATGTTTATTATAAACTTTTAATTTTAATGAAACCTACTTGTTTGTGTTAAATTTTTATTGATATGGTACCATTTTAATATTAAAATATTACAAAATAAAATTATAATACATCGATAAAAAAACACAAAATTATTTAGCATAAAAAATACATTGCACAAAGTTATATAGCATAAAAAAATATTTACTAATACACATTATAAAAAAAATTACTAATAATATTACACAAAAAAAACTAAAAAAAAAATAATGTAGCGTTATGCTCACAACTTTCATCTTGCACAAAATTCTGGTGCACAAAATTCTGGTGCAGCGCTGGACCTATGTTTTGCGTTAAAATAGCGTAACTTTGAGGATAGAGTCACGTTGGAGTTGTCTAAGAGAGACTATCCTTATTTCTCAACCCAACTCAATTTAATATTTAAAATTTATTTCTCTCTCATCCCACCTACACAATTATTTATTTTATTTTAATTTATTTAAAAAATTGCTATTTTATTCTAAAATATATCAAGTGTGGTCTCTATTGGTAGAGAATGAATAAATACGAATTTGAATATTTTTTACTTTTATAAACAAAAAAATACACTTGTCCAATAAAAATAGGACAAGTATCCCATTCTCGCACACTATAGCTCAATTTTTATGATCTTTCTTTTTTCTTTTTTAATTTTTTATTTTTTTTTAATCGATAGCCCACTCATTGGGGTCACCGATAAAAATAGTCTTACTTGTTAGATAATTAGTTGATTAATTTAACCATAATTTTATTAATAAAGTATTTCTTTTTCTCATATACTGTTAGAGGTGGACAAATGGTGGGCATGGTCACGACCCGGCGGGTCGCCAGGTTTGAAAACACAAGTTCGGAACCAGCCCAAGTGTAGGTACGGGCAGCTCGTCGAAATGGCGAGTCAGGATCGGTTCACTGAATCGGAAGGTCGAAGCTGGTTCAACTCGATTCCGAGCTGATTTCGGGCAGGTCAACCGGTTTCANTGTTAAAGAATTTGGACTTGGGTTTAGTTGACATATTATAAGTTAAAGTATCAATTTAGTTGAAGAATGTTTTGGGTTACAAAATGATATTTTAACTTGTAATATGTCAATTATGTTGCCTACATATCTCTTGCCTCGGGAATCAAAGTCCTCGTAGTTCTCTTACTCGACTTACCTTGATAAAAGTAGATGACAAGATTAAACCGATTGTCAAGTTCTCGTAGTCGTATGCGTCGTACTCCTCTTCATCCGGCGGTTCCACTAGTACTAGCAGTAAAATCGGATCCCTCATCTTTTTCATCCTCTTTGACAGTTAGCATGGCCTTTCGTGCCCTCATTTCGTCCTTCTTTAACTCAACAACATTTGGGCTTCTAGGTTTTGTGGCATCAACCTCGACCGTCGTGCGGTCAGTGTATATTCTCCCTCGTTGAATGCTTGTTCAACTGTCATTGTTGAGGCCGGACAATGAAATCTCCTTGGCTATCAAGCATGGAATAGGTAAAATGGTAGGCATATTTTACCACCAATCCAAGACGTCGAATTTTTGTGGCGGAACTGGTTCACGAGCAATCGTAAGTATCAAATTTACCGGCACCTGGTAGCATCTCGACACCGGCAAAAGATACTCAAGGGCAGTCAGTGGCCCCAGGAGGGAAGGAAGGTCAGACAGGGATTGAGGGTGAGCTCGGCAGTCCCACTACAGGGGTAGTCAATCAGGTCGTCGGCGGATCTGGAAGTGGGGGTGGACCGACGGGTTCATTGGATAATAGGCAACGGGTCACGGCAAGAGTAAACAATCCTCCAGAAAACAACCCCCCGGCGGCAGGAGGGGACCAGATGTTGCATATGACCAGAGCAGAGTTTGGATAGGATTATTGCCGATGCAATCGGACGAGCTCAGGTTGTCGATAGAAGGGCTCCCAATGAACCAACCAGGAAGTCCGTACAGCAACAACAGTTACTGCCGCCGGACCAGGCTCAGCGTCGCGAGAGGGGTGACGAAGATGAGGATAGGTCGGTAACCTCTCGGCCTGTCGCAGCGGCGCAACAGGAAGGGGTAACTTTGGAGAGGTTGGCTTCTCAGATGCGGGAATTACAGGCACGGATGCAAGAGAGAAGGCCCATAGTATCTCGTGGGCATCCTTTTACAGAAGAAGTATTGAGAGGTGACCTGCCGCATAATTTCAGAGAATTAAGCTTATCCTATGACGGATCTGCAGACCCCACAAGGCACTTGAGGTCGTTTGACAACATAGCGGTGTTGCATAGGTACAACGATGCAGTGAGTTGTAGGGCTTTCCTGACGACCTTAAAAGGGTCGGCACAGGATTGGTTTCATCAATTGCCGCCTGGAACCATCGACAGCTTCGAAAAATTCATCTCTCTCTTGTTTACTAGTTCGTTAGTGCCAGGAAACATGAGAAGATGTATTTGTCGTTGATTAGCATGCAGCAGAAGGAGGGTGAATCTTTGCGACAGTACGTGGCGCGTTATACAAAAGAATGTGTGGAAGTTCCTACTGCAACAGAGGAAATCAAAGCTGGAGGGCTCACTAGGGGTTTACGGCCAGGAAAGTGTCGAGATTCGTTGGCTAAACACCCGGCTAGATCGTTTGACGAGCTTTTGGAAAGGTGTAGTAAGTATGTGAATATGGAGGAAGCAGAAGCTGATTTCAACCAGAATGACAAGACGAAGGCGAAGCAGGCAGAAGAGAAACCCCGTCAGAGCGACCGATGAGCTGACCAAAAAGAGTCCAAAGCTGAGGATCGATTCAAGGGTCCGAGGTATGAGCATTACAAGCAACTTAATGCACCGCAACAGGAGATCCTGGAGATTATGGAGGAGCAAGGAGAGACCAAGTTGCTTGCACTACCTAAGCCTCTCCCCCTGCCACAAAAATTTTCTGCAGGAAATGACCGGTATTGTCGGTATCATCGCGACTATGGCCACTACACCAAGTTTTGCCGAGAATTAAAAAATGAAATTGAGCGGCTCATTAGGGTTGGACATTTGAAAGAATTTGTGATTAAGGATAAGGAGCGCCAAGAGGAGCCCCACGAGGGGCCCGAGTCAGGCGATGAACGAAAAAGGACGGATGAACAACCTGACAGGCCAGTGAAGAAGGGGGCAATCCACATAATCGCAGATGGCGGCCGTGGAACATATTACATTTGAAGAAATATTATGCATAGCTGAAGACATCTTATTTTTTATTGCTTTCATTTGTTTTTGTTATGTTTTAGCGAGACAAGTAATAAGATTTCATTTGAAGGTTTATCAGCATGATTCTTTTCTTGTGTGGAATGTGTTAGGGCAAAAGCCTGTTAGTCTCGCTTAAGCTCGCGGAGCTAGGCGACGATCTTATAGGGCGAAAGCCTGTAAGTCTCACATAAGCTCGCGGAGCTAGGCGACGACCTTGTTAGGGCGAAAGCTTGTTAGTCTCGCTTAAGCTCGCGGAGCTAGGCGACGACCTTGTAGGGCGAAAGCCTGTAAGTCTCACATAAGCTCGCGGAGCTAGGCGACGACCTCTGTAGGGCATAGGCCTGTTAGTCCCGCTTAAGCTCGCGGAGTTAGGCGACGACCTTCGTAGGACGAAAGCCTTTCAGTCTCATCTAAGCTCGCGTAGCTAGGCGACGACCTCTGTAGGGCGCAAGCCTGTTAATCTCGCCTAAGCTCGCGGAGCTAGGCGACGGCCTTTGAAGGGCGTAAGCCTGTCAGGCTCGTCTAAGCTCGCGGAGCTAGGAAACGACCTTCGTAGGGCGAAAGCCTATTAGTCTCGTCTAAGCTCGCGGAGCTAGGCGACGACCTTCGTTGGGCGAGAGCCTGTCAGTCTCGCTTAAGATCCCGGAGCTAGGCAACGACCTTTGTAGAACAAAAACATGTTATGATAATCGCGAGCTTGTCGAGCTCGGCGATGATATTGTGTAGAGCGCGAAGCCTGTTATGATAATCGCGAGCTTGTCGAGCTCAGCGATGACGTTGTGAGGGCGAAAGCCTGTTATGATAATCGCGAGCTTGTCGAGCTCGGCGATGATATTGTGTAGGGCGCGAAGCCTGTTATGATAATCGCGAGCTTGTCGAGCTCGGCGATGACGTTGTGTAGGGCGCGAAGCTTGTTATGATAATCGTGAGCTTGTCGAGCTCGGCGATGATATTGTGTAGGGCGCGAATCCTGTTATGATAATCGCGAGCTTGTCGAGCTCGACGATGACGTTGTGTAGGGCGCGAAGCGTGTTATGATAATCGCGAGCTTGTCGATCTCGGCGATGAAGTTGTGAGAACGAAAGCCTATTGTCATAATCGCGAGCTTGTCTAGCTCGGCGATGATGTTGTGAGGGCGAAAGCCTGTTATGATAATCGCGAGCCTGTCAAGCTCGGCGATGCAGTTGTAGGAGCGAAAGCCTGTTCAACGAATCGCAAGCTAGTTGAGCTCGGAGACGATGTTAAAAGGACGAATGCCTATGCCAACATTCGTAACTCCACTAAGACTTGGTGATGTATGTTATGAAAATTTATAAGCTTGTTATGCTTAGCGACAAGTCTTTCAAGAAGAAAGCTTGTTCATGGTTATTGAGCTCGGCTGCGAAGGAAGAGGATTGATAAATTATTCTGAACATTTTGTTGACTGGTCGATCATATTTGTATTGTTCCTAGCCTGGTAAGAGTTTAT